ACTATGTGGGAGTCCAGCGACATAGCCATTACGCTAACTGCTGGTTCCCAAGTCATAGGTTTCTTTAGATAACTAGCCAAGGTAGATGGAAACCATTTTGGTACATACAGGAAACTGAAGGGTGAGCGCCGTCGACTCTCACCACAGCGCACAGCTGGGCTCCCACTTTCCCAGGGCTCTCGGCATGCTCCACACACCCTGAAGAAGCGCCATCGCCCAGGCGGGCTAGGCAGCGACTGGGCCTCAATCTTGTAGAGCCTCCTGGCACAAGAGAACAGCCCACCTGTGGGAGGCTGCGCACCAGGGAATATCCCCGGTTTCTCAGAGAGCAAACAATTACACAATGCCAAAAGCCATGATTGGCTTCCCTCAAAACCTCACCTTCAAAACCATACTCTGATTGGCCACTAGAATCCTTCAGATTTGCATATCCGGCACCTCATGATTGGTCCACAAAGCAACCAATCATAACCCACCTTTTACAACCAATCATAACCCACCTTTTACAACCAATCACAGCCCACTAACATGTATATAACCATGATCCCTGGCCCACAATCTCCAGACGACCCTGAAGAGCCTGAGAAGTTGTAACACTGCATCGTCTCCAGATGACCCTGAAGAGTTGTGACACCATGTTGTAACACTGTGTCTTCTCCGTGCTGCCCACAATAATCAGAAGACCCAGAAGAGTTGTTACACTGGGTCATCTGTCTCTGTGTTGTCCGGTCTCTCACTCCTTCCCTCAGGAAACCTGTTCGGGTCGGGATACCCACCAATGTCAACTCGAGCCCGCTTGCGACCCTCCAGGCGATTCTTTTTGAAAATTTTTAACGGTGCCCATGGATCTAGTTTTTCTGGAGTCCCTGGGAAGTGTCTTCCTTTGGATCAGCAAGGGAATCGTCCTTGATCTTTTTACATTTCCTTTAGCCTCCTTCTTAGCATTTGGTAGAAGAGGTAGGCTTGGGGCCAGCTCATGGCATGGTGGTTCAGACAGCTGGATTCCACACGGCGGACTATGACTTTGAGTCCTGAACCCAGAGGCTTAAGAAACACGCTCGGCAGGTATGTTTGTGTGCCCAGAATCCTGAAAGAAGGAGGAGATGGAGAAGGGATGAGATGTGACCATTCCCCATGGAGGGGGCTTTCTTGCTCTCTCTCTCTCTCTCTCCCCAGTGAGTGCACATCACAGGCCCTCTGGCAAACTTTTTTAAAAAGGAAGAAGAGGTAAGCATGAAACTATTATACCTGCTAGCTCTCTTTGTCAGGTGGAGGTGGGGCTGGAAATGTGGTAAGAGATGTTTTTTTTAATTTCCTTTTATTGCTGTAATGAATATCTACTCAACATTTCAATGACACTTTTATTGTGCTTGCTTTGAGGCTTAACATAAATGGCCCAATTAAAAAATTCAGTGAACTTTGTTCAATTATCTTGATTTTTTTTAGAATTCTTTTTCTTTTTCTTTCTTTCTTTCTTCTTTCTTTCTTTCTTTCTTTCTTTCTTTCTTTCTTTCTTTCTTTCTTTCTTCTTGCTTTCTTCCTTCTTTCTTTTTTCTTTCTATTTTAATTTGACTGGGGGTGGAGAGAGAGAGAAAAAGAGAGAGAGAGACAGAAACTGAGAAAACAAGCTGCCAGGTCCAGGACTCAAACCATGGTTGACCGTGAGGGAGTCCAACACCCTTAACCATCACGCCACCTGCTGTCCCATCTTGATTTATTTTTAAAGCTTCCATAGCTTATTTGAAGACTGGGGGGAAAATAGTATTTACACAATCAGCTAATTCTAGCTTTTTCTCACTCTTTTAGTTTTACCGTTTTGAGAAAATTAGTTTTTGGTCCAACCCTGGTGGTTAAGGGAGCTCTGTCCCACATGGTCCACTGTGGTTCAAATCCTAGCCCTGGTGGCTTGGAAAACACACAGGATACATATGTGTGTGTGCCCCAAATCCTGACAGGATGGGGAAATGGGAGGAGAAAGAATTGTGAGGTGTCCATGCCCCATTAGGGGGTGCTTTCACTCTCTTTCTCTGTCTCTCTCTGGCAAACACTTGTGTCCCTGGAAGTTAAAAGTAATTAAAACTGTTTTGGGGACCAGCAGGTGGCATGTTGGTTAAGGCAGCCAGGTCCCACATGGCCAGCTGTGTGATTTGAGTCTCATACCTGGTGGTCTGAAAAACTCATTGGGTGTGTGTGTGTGTGTGCATGTGTGCCCCAAATCCTGACAGGATGTAAAAATTGAGAAGATTGTGGTGTGACTATGTCCCATTGGGGGAGGGAGGAAAATGAATCCTCTCTTTCCTTCTCTCTCACTCACTTTCTCAGTGTCTCTCTCCATTGAGCCCATGTGGAAAAATTGGAAAAAAAAAAAACAAACTTTTTTATTTTGAAGTGTATGTGATTTAGAACATTTTTTGTCCCTTTTTACCCAGGCTTGTTCATTGTTTTCCTTTCTGCAAAGAGGTCTTCTTTTCTTACCTGAATCAGAATCATTTTGCTTTGATTTCCTATCTTTTTTTTTTTTTTTGAGAGGTTTTTGCTATAGGGCGTGTGTGCTCGCCAGAAAGACAGAAAGAGACAGAGAGACAGAAAGCAAGAAATCACCCCCCAAGGGGGATGGTCACGCCACATCCCTTCTCCTCCATTCTCCTCTTGGGATCTTGGGTATGCATGCTCCCGCCGTGAGTTTAAGCCACCGGGTCTGGAACTCGAACCGCGGTTGACTACATGGGAGTCCAGCGACATAGCCATTACACCAACTGCTGGTCCCTGATTTTCTATCTTTAATAGGGGAGAAAACTCTGTCCCTATTTCTCTTTCTATCTGTATCATATGTGAAAGATGTCCATATAACTTACATGCTCGAACCTGTAATATTGCCACATGCCAATATTCATATATGTGGTTGGCTAGTTTCCTAGGGTTGCTCTGCCACAGTACCACTAACGGGGTAGCTTAGCAACAGAAATTTATCATCGCAGTTCTGGAGGCTGGACGTATGAAATCAGAGTACTGATCTCTCTGAAACCAGTAAGGGAAGGATCCTCACTTGTCCCTTCCAACTGTTGGAAGGCCTGATGTTCCTGGCCTGTGGCAGGACAACTCCAACCTTCACGTGGTCTTCTCCTCTCTTCATACCATGCTCTCTCTGAATGTGCCTATGTTCCCTTTATAAAATAAACAATTATTAATGATAGAGCATGTCATGTGGACAAGAGATAAAGTAAGAGAGAAGCACCTTCCCCAGGGCTCTCTTGTGCCACCATCCCCTTCCTGCAGTTCTCCAGGCCACCAGGATCCTGGGCACACACGCACTCACCAAGCACACTTTTCAAGCCAACCAGGCAGGGAATTCAAACCATGATTGGCATGTGGCTTCTTTTTTAAAAGAATTATTTATTTTGTTTATTTATTCATTTATTTTAATTTTACCAGAGAGAGAGAAAGACAGAGAGAGAAAGTGAGAAAGCAAGCCACCAGGTCCAGGACTTGAACTGTGGTTGGCCATGTGGGAATGTCCAGCACCTTAACCACCATGCCACCTGCTGGCCCCCACCATGATTGGCATCTGGTTTCTGGCTCTGAATTCCAGTATGCTACCAGCTGTGCCACAGAGGCTGGGCTGCAAATGTCCCCTCTACATGGACAGCACTCATACTGGGTTGGAGCCCACCCTAATGACCTCATTTTAACTTGATCACTTTCTCCAGAGACCCTATTCACAAATAAGGCCACACTCCAAGGTGTAGGGGCTAGGACTTCAACATACCATTTTGTAGGGGGAACAATTCAATTTATAGCAGTAGTCAAAGTATTAACAACATGATCTGGAAAGTAACACCCCAAATTCATGGTCATGGTGGCTTCTGTTCAGGAGAGGGGGACATTGGATGAAGGAGAGGTATTAGAGGGCTTTGGCCTTACTGGTCATGTTTTACCTCCTTGATACAGTAAATGTGAGTGTGGAACTAATGACTAATGTCAAAGAGACTAGGAATTGCTAATATTTATTCTACTGTGCTCTACGCTTCATTGTGGCCTAACATTCCTTTTAAATTATTAGGAGAAATGAAAACAAGCTGGCATGTGAGCGAGCATTTCCCCACTTGCAAATACACCTGAGCTGTACAACACGAGACCATCTTTTATGGAAGTCAAAGTCCTCTGCCTTCTGATTTGCAGGACGTGACTCTGCCTGCTGTCAGCACCTCGGAATATTCAGTCCTCAGGCCAGCGTCAGAGAGTCACCTGCCACCCGGCTCCCATCCAAGCCAGCCTAGAGAAGACACAAGGATCTTTAACAAGTTGATTGGGGCAAAGTTGACATCTATTTGGGACCAAGTGAGTAAACTAAAGATAAAAGATGTTTTTAAGGAGCTAAATGTGGGGGTCAGTAGATGGCGTCATGGTTACGTCACTGGACTGCTACGTAGTCACCTGTGGTTTGAGTCTTGATCAAGCAACTTCAAACTCACACTGGGCATGTGTATGCCCAAGATCCTGAGATGAGAATAGAGGAGAAGGGATTGTAGTGTGCTCATCCTCCCTGAGGGTGATTTTCTCACTTTCTGTCTCTCTGTCTCTTCTATAGCAAAAATCTCTTTTAAAAAAAAAGGAGCTGAATGTATTCAATTAAACAAACTGTCCTTCCTTTTGAAATGGGCCCCCCTTTCTTTAAAAGAAAACTATAAAATATTTTATGTGATAATGGCTGATAGTCAATCATGATAGCTGTCATTGCATTTATGTTGGCGACTCTAGATTCTTTCCTTCTCCCTCCCCTACATAGAAACTATTCTTAAAAATTTTGTTTGGTCTGTTTTAAGTCAAATAGATGCAATTCATTGGAACTAGTTAAGAGTTTCTATAGAATCACTTTCATTATTCTTTTTAAGCTTATTTTATTTCTTTCATGAGAGAAAGTATATGAGAGACAGAGACAGGCACCCTCAACAGGACGTCATCACACCATGATCCTCTTCCCCTGGCCCTCCAGCTAGTCGGGACCTCAGGCACACATGCACCTGCTGTGTTTCAGGTAGACTCAGAATCTGAACCCGTGGCTGGCCATGTGGCTTCCAGCATGGCAGATCAGTGAGTTATCACCTGTGCTACTACAGTTAGGCTGACCGTGGTCTTAAATATGTCTTATGTCACTTATAGGATTGTCACTAGCCTAGAAAACAGTGATTTCATTTAGGTTAAAAGGTTTACCTTGCATATAACACAGTTCACCTCTTTAGAAATAAAACATGCGGCTGAAATGAGAAGTTGTGGCCTCACTTTGACTTGCAGGGGTCACTTCCTGCATTTGGTGCCAGTCAGGGCTGCTGTTTTATAAAAGCCCTGGCTTCTCGTTCCCGTCTTTCAGGTAATAAATGGCCTCGATGAGCAAAATTAACCTTTGCACAGCTCACAGTCTGCATGGCCACCAGGCCCCAGTGTGGGCCAGAGACTGGAGCTGGGAAAAGGAGATTAGCAGCTAGAACCTTAACCTTAACCTTTTCTGCGGTGCATGGAGATCTCTGCATTCTTGTTGACAACACTGTGAGATTCCAATGTGCAGATGTCTTAAAACTGATCCAGCCCATTCCTCTTGATGGTTTTTTGATTGTTTCCAGTTGTTGTCATTACACACAAAGCTTGGCCTGCCAGTCCTTCATGGTTCTGAGTCCTTATGTTTTGTGATGTCATCTGATGATGCAGAGCAGAACTCGTGGGTGGCTGCCTCGGCTTACATTGGCTTGAGTGGGGAGAACTAATGATACGTGAAGTTGGGGTGATCAGGCCCAACTGCAGTGCCGACCCCTGGGCTGCAAGCTGACCAAGTTCTGACTCACGCTCACGAAGACTTAGACTCATGGACATGGAGAAGGGAGAGCAAGCCAAGTTTATTGAGAGAGAGCAAATAAAAAAGCAAGCACTCCCAAGTAGAAGGGGTCTCAGAAAGAGTTACCACCCGTGGTCTGGTCTCCGGTTTCTATCCTAGCTGAGAGACCCCGTGTATGCATGTTTCTTTGTGACAGGGGTCTCATGTAAGCTGTTAATTTAGGAAGAACTTATCTCAGTTAACTCTGAAGGCTCAGAGACTGTTAAATTTAGGATTTATTGCCACAAGGCAGGAAGTCTTATCTGCTCCAGATTTCTGAAAAACAAAACAAAACAAAAAATCTCCTACATTATCTATGCATTCTGGGCTATGACAATCGATCTCTGGTTTCTGCCTGAGTCCATCTCATAATAATGAATCCTAAATTCTTTAGGAACAAAGTCTATATATCTATAGGTCAAAGGAACATAGTGACTCTATGGAGAAAAGAGGAAAAAGAAACAGGTAACATGACATGGCCACCCAGCGGGGTGGACAGCGGCTCTCCTCTCAGTCCCTGCCCTATCCACCTACTCACTGAGTCTAATTTCTGTCTCACTAAGAGGCAGCAGAGGGCCAGATAAATAGCCTGGATGTGACCTCGTCAGATGCGAGGGTGTAATGTGCCCCTCGAAGATTCCTGAACTATCAGAACTACAAACACAAGATCGGTAGGATGGCCATTCAAGCCGGGGGTCTGTGCAACATGGAATAAGGAGTACCGGATTAGCAGCCTTCGTATGACTGAAAAGCAGTGGGGGGCTCGCCAGTGGGGTGGTGAAGAGAGCTAGATCCCACACAGCCGATAGTACAGTTTGAATCCTGGCACCTGCAGTTTGAAAAACACTTGGGGCATGTTTGTGTGCATGCCTAAAATCCCGAGAGGAGGGAGAAATGGAAGAGAAGGGATTTCTGCATTACCATTCCCCGCGGGACTGCTTTCTCGCTTTCTTTCTCTCTCTGACTCTTTCTGGCAAGAACACACTTGCCCTCTGGCAAATAAAAAAAAAAAAAGAGAGAGAGAGAGAGAAAGAAAAAAAGAGGAGAGAAAAGAGAAGAAAGAAAACCATTGAGATATATGTGACCAGAGAGAGCCCAAAAGGGACCCGAAAAGGAGGGCTGGAATAGATGGTTCAGTAGCCCTTACTAGGAAGGCACTGGAGAAACGAAAACCGGGGTGAAAAGGGGAATACCCTCCTAGTGCTGTTCCCAAGGCGTTGAGCTGTATTATTATTCCTTTGAACAATCAGATTTTCCATCTGCCCCCCTGATGGTTAATAGGAAGCTAAGAGTAGAATTCTCAGAAGGCCACTCCCACTTCATTTGACAATCAATACGAGACTATTTCCTTGTGGTCATTTCCTCCTCTCTCTCCCCGACCTTTTCTGTGGGTTTAGCTTTGTTTGTGGAATTTGTTCAGTGCAGGTGGTCGTGGTGAGAGAACTGTGTGCCTCACTGTGAAGATGTGCAGTTCACAAACTGTCAGATAACCACCGAACGGAAAACTGCACCAAGGAACTTGGACTCATTTTTGGCCTGTTATGTTTAATATCCATCTATCTATTTAGCTAATCTGTCTGTGTTGTTTGTGCATAATAGGAATGTTTATATTTATAATATGTATTATATATTTATAATATGTATTATATTTATAATATGTATGCATATATGTGTATGTATGTTATATATATATATGTACATTATATATATATATATATAAAATACATATGTACAGGTTCAGCATCCCTGATCAAAAATCCAAAATCTGAAACTTAAGAAAAAAATTATTCACTAATTTTTTTAGTGAGATAGGGAGAGGGGTGTCACCAACAAGGTCCCTATGCCATGATCAAATATTTAAAGCAAAAACCAAAGTGCTTTTATCCGTGAGGTTAAGTTCTGTTGCATTAAAACAAACAACAAACTAAAACATCACAAAGTTTTCTAACAAATAAAAGTTCATTTCTTGCCCATGAAAAGCTGTTGTAAAAAGCCAGGTGTAGTGCACAATGCCTGTAATCCTAACTATTCAGGAGGTTGAGGCAGGAGGATCTCCAGTTTGAGGTCAGCCTCTTAAAAAAAAAACAAAAAACAACAACAACAAAAAAAACGCTGACATGGTTTGGGGCAGGGGTGGGTCCTCATGTGCTCAATGTGGTCATGCAGGAGCCCTGGAGAGGCTAAAGGAGCGCTGAGGGTAAAGCTTCAGCTCCTGAATGCTTTCGCTTAGAAGTGACACAGTCCCCTACATCCACAGCTTATTGACCAGAGAGCACCATGTGCCAGTGCCTGACAGCAAAGGGGTTCCTCATCTCCTGGGGATGTCCTGGAGAAGATGCAGAGTCTCTTCCCTGCTGCTCCTGCAGCTCGTCCTGGAGTTGAGGTTCTGAGCGCTTGGTTTGCTGGGAGCCCTGAGCCCTGGTTTCCCGTGTTGTTATCTGATCTCTTCTAAAGGGCTCTCATGATAAATTCTTTTCAGAAATTAATCCTGGGAAGAAATGTGGACCTCTTGAAAAACTGATATACTTCCTCTTTTCTACAAGTAGTAGTAGATAACCTGTCCTGAGTCCCTGTCAGTACGGGCGAAGCAACTCTCATCGAAATTTAGTTCTGTCACAGCCTGTCAACCTAGGAATTTTGCAGCGTTGTTCCTTCCTGTACCTGAGTATAAGAGGTTTCCTTTTTTTATTTTTTTTTAAAGTTTATTTGTTTAGTTTTGAGAGAGAGAGAGAGAAAGAGAGAGAGGGAGAGAGAAGGATCCTCAGGCTGCAGTCTATCTCCAGCTTTAACAGCTGGGGCACACCCAGCCTGTGCTGGGAGACCTTGGAATGTGAACTTGGAACCTTCCCATTCAGCTTTGCAGAAGCTGTGCCACTGTGGCTGAGTTTCTTTAATCAATGTCCTGGCTGAGTTACTACTTTCATTATCTACCCACTCTTGTCTCTTATGGAAATTGCCCAGTTTTACGTTACATAAAAATAAAAATAGTGATAAGTGATAGCTTCTGTTCTGTTTTCCTCAGCGCTGGCTGTTCCATGTGCCTTATCGTGGCCATTCCTTACAAAAACTCTGTGAGATAGCATTGTCAGTGTTGAAACAGATTCAGAGACGTTAAGTGACGTGCTGAAGTCCACGCAGTCAGCAAATGGGAACTAAGGCCGGCTCAGTGTGATGCCAAGGGGTGGATTTCTAACCACTCTCACTGTTGAGCATCCCATAGATAGGATTCGATTCAGGCAGTGTGTCCTGTCTTCACCTAGCTTTTGTTTTCATTAATTCATATGTATTTTTTTTGCTATAGGGTGCATGCGCTCGCCAGACAGACAGAGAGAGACATAGAGACAGAAAGCGAGAAGTCACCCCCCAGGGGGGATGGTCACACCGCAATCCCTTCTCCTCCATTCTCCTCTCGGGATCTTGGGCACGCACGCACACGTGCCCGGTGTGAGTTTTAAGCCACCGGGTCCGGGACGCGAACCGCGGTTAACTACGTGGGAGTCCAGTGACATAGCCATTACGCTAACTGCTGGTTCCCACTAATTCATATTTATGTATAGGAAAATTGGAAATATTTGTGAGCCAAAATTCTTTGGTTTTTTTTTTTTCTAAGTAATCTGATAGCCCCTGAGAGAAATAGAAGGTTTTATGTTATGGCTTCTAGGTTAGATCTTTTACATCTTCATCTTCTTTTTAAAATTTAGGAGTAATATACTTATGTGTATGTGTGCACATTTCTTAAGCATACAATTTGACACATTTTTACACACACGCTACCAAGTAACCACCACCAAATGTTGCCACCCTGGTGGCTCCGCAGAGACTCTCATATGGCATTTTCCAGTCATTACCCACCTCTTTCTCTCCCCAAGATATCCCACCATTCAAACTTCTGTCAACATTTGTTAGTTTGCTGGTTCTTGAACTTTGGGTAAATGTAACATGGTAGTATTTTGGTGTGTCTAGCTCTTTCCTTTCATCCCTACATGTGTGAGATTTATCCATTTTGTAACATGTGGCAGAAATTCAGTCTTTGCTATCACTGAGTGATATTTCATGGTATGAACATGCCATGATTCATTTATTCTGCTGTTGAGTGACATTTGGATTGTTTCAAAATTTTTGGCACTTACAAAAGCAAAAGGTTTTGGGGATCAGCGGGCATGGTGGTTAGGGTACAGGAGTCCCACATGGCAGACTGCAGTTCAAGTCCCAATCCTGGGGGGTTGCTTTCGCATTTTCCCTCCCTCTCTGTCTCTCTGGTGAGCACACATGCCCTATAGCAAATGAAATAGTAATAATAAAAAATAAATAATTCTTTAAAAAATGTTAAAAACAAAACAATACCATAAAAAGTTTCTGTGAACCTTCTTATCTTTTGGTAGACACACTCACTTCTCTTGGACTAATATAGCGGCACCTGCTCTCAATATTTTGACTTTATTAGGGACCATTTTGTTTGTTAGATGTAATAGTCTGTGTGTTGGTGTTGGGAGGGCATGGAAGTTCCTAGAGAAGAAATATATTAATTTCTTTTTTTTTTTTTTTTGAGAGGCTTTTGCTATAGGGCGCGTGTGCTCATCAGAAAGACAGAGAGAAATAGAGAGACAGAAAGCGAGAAATCACCCCCTGGGGGGATGGCCATGCCGCAATCCCTTCTCCTCCATTCTCCTCTGGGGATCTTGGGCACGCATGCACATGCGCCCGGCGTGAGTTTAAGCCATCAGGTCCGGGACTCGAACTGCAGTCGACTATGTGGGAGTCCAGTGACATAGCCATTATGCTAACTGCTAACCCCAGAAATATATTAATTTCTAATATTAAAATATAAGTAAACAAATGGCTTCCATTTCCACATTATGAGAATTAATTTGCAATAAAGAATAGCACCTAAATTTCAAGTGAGTGCAGATAGCTTATACAGATATTCCTGTTTGCAATACTCACCATATTAGTCAGAATTCTTCTCTGTCACTTGCAAATGACAGAAACCCAGCTCAAATTAATTTCAGTCAAAAAGGGAATGTAATGACTCAACGCTCCAGGAGTCTACTGCCTTCAGGCATGCTGGATTCAGATGTCATCATATTTGGTCTTTCTGTCTATCTCTTGGCTCTGTTCTCCTCCTACCTGTGAGTACCAATCTCTACTGGTGATCTCTGATGGCTTCAGGTTTACAACTTCCTAACTCCAAGTGCAACAGACAGTACAGTTCCGTAAAACTCCCCAAATTGAATCTCATAGGCTCTGGCTGGGTTGTATTTCCTAACCTGGTCACCGTGGCTGGGAAGAAAATAATTGCAATTGGATTATAAGCCCACATCTGGTTTATAGGGACTGAGTGGGGAGAGGTATTACTCAAGACAAAGTGTTAACACACGATAGAAACAGATGCTGGGCAGGGATAAAACACAAAAATGGATTTCTGCTATGCTGAGATACTTAGAATAGACTTGGCAAAATGAACATTCTGAGGCTCTAGGTGACAGCAAAATGTTAACATTGTCATTAGGTCTGATTACTGAAAAAGTCTGACCTTTGTTTACACAGAGACCAACCTGGACAAGTTGACAAACTTAAAAAAAATGTTCTACTTCCTTCTTGCAAAGCCATCTCCATGCATCTATTTATCTATTCATTTATTCATTGATTTTAATTTGACCTCCTCTGTGCACTCATACCAGCTTGTGCTTTGAATCCTAGAAACCCAAGTGCCAATAGGCGGCCTAGTGGTTAAGGCACTGAATTCCCACATGGCAGTTCAAGTCCCAGACACGACAGCTAGAAGGTCATGACAGGCACATGTGCATGTGTGCCCAAAATCCAGAGAGGGGAACGGAAGAGAAGAGAAGGGATTGCAGTGTGGCCATCCCTCCTGGGGGATGATTTCTCAATTTCCCTCCCTCTGTCTCTCTCCAGCAAGCACACACACCCTATGGCAAAAACCTAAAAAGAAAGAAAGAAAGAAAGAAAGAAAGAAAGAAAGAAAGAAAGAAAGAAAGAAAGAAGGAAAGAAGGAAAGAAGGAAAGAAGGAAAGGAAGAAAGGAAGGAAGGAAGGAAGGAAGGAAGGAAGGAAAGAAGGAAGAGAGAGAGAAAGAAAGGAAGAGAGAAAGAGAGAGAGAAAGAGAGAGAGAGAGGAAGAAAGGAAGGAAAAAAGGAAGGAAGGAAGGAAGGAAGGAAGAAAGGAAGAAAAAAAAAGAAAAAGACTTGTGCATGGATTTCAGTTTTCTGGGGCACCAAAATAAACTTGTACTTTAATCTATTTTTCCAGATTTTTTTAAATCTCCTCACTGAAGGAGCCCAGGTTGCTGATGACGTCGCAGAACCGAGTCATCATATCAGCTCAGACTATTATGTAAAAGAAAAATCAACTTTTATCTTGTTTAAACCACCATTTTTAAATCTTTGGTCCATACAACTGTATTTATATCTTTCTTTTTCTTTTTTTGGAGAGGGTTTCGCTATAGGGCACGTGCACTCGCCAGACAGACAGAGACATAGAGACAGAAAGCGAGAAATCACCCCCCAGGGGGGATGGTCACACCGTAATCCCTTCTCCTCCATTCTCCTCTTGGGATCTTGGGCACGCACACACACATGCCAGGCATGAGTTTTAAGCCACCGGGTCCGGGACACGAACCGCGGTCGACTACGTAGGAGTCCAGTGACATAGCCATTACGCTAACTGCTGGTTCCCTGTATTTATATCTTAAAAAACTATTATTTACATAATAGTCTGAGCTGATATGATGTCTTGGTTCTGTGAAGTCACCAGCAACCTGGGTTCCTTCAGTGAGGAGATTTTTAAAAATCTGTGGAAAAATAGATTAAAGTACAAGTTTATTTTGGTGCCCCAGGTAATTGAAATCCAAGCACAGGTTTTTCTTCCTTTCTTCCTTTCCTTTTTATTATTTTTTTGTTTCTGTTGTTGTTGTTGTTGTTTTGCCATAGGGTGTGTGGAGAGAGACAGAGAGAGGGAAATTGAGAAATCATCCCCCAGGAGGGATGGCCACACTGCAATCCCTTCTCTTCTCTTCCGTTCCCCTCTCTGGATTTTGGGCACACATGCGCATGTGCCTCTCATGACCTTCTAGCTGTCGTGTCTGGGACTTGAACTGCCATGTGGGAATTCAGTGCCTTAACCACTAGGCCACCTGCTCCTCCCATTTTTGTCTCTTTTATTAAAAGTGCTTTTTTTTTTTTTTTTTTTTTTTTTTTTGTGGTCATAGGGTCTTTGTGCTCAACAAAGAAAGTGCCCCACAAAGTAACACAGTCACCATCCCTTCTTCTTCTCCAATTTTCTATCCTGTCAGAATTTTGGGCATGCCCACACATGCATTCAGAGTGTTTTTCAAGATGCCAGGGTTGGGATTCAAATTGCAATCAGCTGTGTGGGATCCAGCTTAACCACTGCATCCCAGGGCCAGCCCCATAGCCTTTTTCATAATACACATTTTCCATGAACTCTTTGAAGATCCCCACGTATGTGTTGTGCTACTGTTCTCATGGTGGGTGCAGCCTTTGCATACAAGACCCAAGATGTTGCACCATCATTTCTACCTTCCAGCCTCCAGGAAATAAGACGGAGAAAGGGAAGGACAACCTTTTTCCTTTAAGAGCATGACCTGGCAGTTATATATCGTTTCTGCTACGTGTCATTATTTCTCTCATGTCCATACCTAGGTGCAAAGGAGGCTGGGAAACTTAGTCTTTATTATGGGCGGCTGTGGACTCGACTTTGAAAGAAAGGAGAACTGATACTGGAAGGTAACTAGCAATCTCTGCAGGAAAAATAAAAGGAAAAGAATGTGACTTTTTTTGTCCTTTTTGTTTGTCAGGTAAAGGAAAAAAAAAATCCCCAAGTAACCGCAAATGAAGGAGCGTTTTAATGCCCCAGGGTAGAGAATTTGTAACAGCATGTCTGCCTACTACAGGAATCACGGGTTTGAGGGAGATCCAGATTACCCTGACTACTCGGAGTCTTGGAACGGAACACAGGAGTATTCGAAAACTCAGGATTACCCAGGTCCTCTGAATAATCCAGACTACCCCAGCCCCAAGAACAACCCATACTCCCTAGGCTCCAGAACAAGCCAAGAGTATCCTGGCTCTCTAGCAGAACCAGATTATCCTGGATCTTCTCCAAGTAATCTGGACTATCTTGGGACCAGGAGCAATCCACACTCTGCAGCCTCCAGAGCGAATCCAGACTATCATGCATCTCTGCCAGAACCAGATTACCTTGACTTTCAGAGCAATCCACACCACTCCAGCTCATCCAGAGAGCCAGACTATCCTGGATCTCAACGAAATATTGAGTTTGCAGGTTCCAGAAGCAGTGGAAATTATGGACACTCCAGAACAAATTCAGATTACTTGGGCTCGTTTGGAGAACCAGACTATCCTGGAGCTCAGGGCAACACTAACCATCTCGGCCCCAGGGACAACTCCAACCGTCCAGGCTTCAGAAGGAATACAGAGCATACCGGTTCCAGAATCAACCCATTTATAGATTATTTGGGAGAGCCTGATTATCCAGGTGCTGAGAATCAACCTAACTCCCCACCTTATTTAGAAGAACCAGACTATCCGGGTGCCAAAGACTCTCAGAACTCACCAAACCTTTGGGGGGAACCCGATTACCCAGGTGCTGAAGACGGTCATGATTATGGCTCTTCTGAAACACCGAAAATGACCAGGCAGTAAGTTCAGGTATATCCTTTCACCGGGGGTGGGACTGCGTGAGTACTAGAGCATCAAGTCGATGAAATTTGGTTGGTATGGTTTAGATTAGGGACGTGGATGATGGTCTCCATGATCTGAGGTTGTGGCAAAACTCTCTTACCTCATCACTGTTTTGACATGAATTGATTCTTTCATCAGTTTTTTAATCTATAACAAATTTTACCATTTGAAACTTTAACCAAAATTAGTCTTACTTTGTATTTACTATTTCTACTAGTGATAATTAGGAATTTGATTTAAAATTATGACTTGTATTTGATTCTAGTAACAAGGATATAGGATTTGAGTACGTAACAGTCAAAATATTGGCTTGTTGGAAAAGTCATGATGCATTTTTACATATCAAAGCATAGAAAACTACTTAATGACTTTTTTAACAACCCATTTTCTTTAGGACATAAATAGAATGAACAGGACCCGGTCGAAATGTCCTTCTTACCCTTATCTCCCACTGCTTGACTCAAAATACACCTTTGATGTTGTTACTGCCCTGATTTTCACCTTCCGTGGGCCCTCATAACCTTTGGGAGAATGGGCACACTGCTTCACTTACAGAACATTCGTCAATGGGATACGCTGTGCTAACCTAAGACATCAGCCAAAGACCAGCCTGATTGGTCCCCATCTTCTTTCCCCACCCCCTCCATACCTTAACCCTATTTTCTAGAGATCAGTAGTCCCTGACCTTTGCTGATCCTTACTACTACTTAATTAGCTGGGGAACTTTAAAAATAGTGCAGTTGCCTGGGCCCACCTTCCTTCAGAGTTTCTGACTTAATTAACTAGCACAGGAACCGGTGTGTGTACGCATGAGTGTGCATGCGTGCATGTGTGTGTGTGTGTTTAAAACTGAAGACCATTGCTCCAAGTTAATTGATTTGCATAGCATCCCCTTTAGATATTTGTCACTTTCTGTTCTCATTATTTATGCTATTTTACATCCTTGGACTGCCTCTTCCTAATTATGCACAAATTTATCCTTCCAACTCCTGCTTAAATGTCTCTTTTCCATTTAGATTTCTCCCAAAACTTCTAGCCAGAATTCATCTCTCCTTCCTTTGAACTTCTTGATCCTCTTTGCTAATCCTCACCATTTCTAGTTAAATTATAATTGGTCATATCTATGTCTAGAAACTGCACCAGATTGTCCTGGGAACTTCTTGAGGACAGACATGTCTTTATCTTTGCATCCTCATCCCTGAGCCATGGCCAACACATGATTGTCATTCATCAGCATTGTGATTGGATGAATGGCTGGAAAGATGGATGGATGGATGGAAGGATGGATGAATGTCCTGTCATACTCCTGGATGGATAGCAGTTCATCATTTCAAGATTTCAGGATACTTGGAGAATGTCTTCAATCCAGCTCTCATTTCATTGCAGGGGTGATGGCCTCTTGGGCATCCTTCAGAAAGATAATAAAGATTACCACGAAAGCATTGAAATGACATCCATGGAGATGGCAAGCCCATCTGAATACTCTCTGCCGGAAACTCCAAGACATGGCTATGGTAAGCATTTGTTAAAATAGGGATCGTATCCTGCAAAAAAGTAAAACCCAGTGGATTGAGCGGTGCCATCATTAAGAAGGCCTGGCGGGACCAGCAGTTGGCATAATGGCTATGTTGCTGGACTCCCATGTAGCCACCCGTGGTTTGAGTCCCAGACCTGGTGGCTTAAACTCATGCCAGGCATGTGTGCGTGTATGCCCAAGATCCTGAGAGGAGAATGGAGAAGGGATTGCAGCATGGCCATACTCCCGGCAAGTAATTTCTCGCTGTCTCTCTCTGTCTTTCTGGCAAGCACCCACGCCCTATAGCAAAAACCTCTCCAAAAAAGAGGAAAAAAAAGAAGCCCTAGCAATAGAAGAAGTGGTCTATTCCTCCCTCTGCAAGTCCCTCCCAAGGTAAAGAGTTGAAAACTCAGTGTCTAGAGAAGCCATATACTATCCATCAATTATCTAAGCAGGCCAGGTTAGAGCTGTGGACAACAGGGCCTGCATGCCCTGTGCCTACCTCAGTGGCCTATGGTCAGATCCGGTCCCTGTGCTTATTGTGGGAACGTGGCTTAATGTACTGAGACCTTTAGATATTTTTTAAAAGAAGCCGGAAATTTGTCCTTTTGTCTTTTTTTTGTTGTTTTTCTATGCAATCTCCTGATTTTATGTGTTACAAAATAATTTTTAAAAATTGAAAACACTGAGCTGAACAAACAAAATCACCTTTTGGTGAGCTGCCAGTGGCCACCTTTAGCCTGGCACACACTGAAGGTGTTGAGACCATCGCATTTGCGTGTTTGGGACCTTCTGAGAGCAAACGGGGAGAGGGGCAACTCTATCTCATGTTACTTAAAGCCTCAATAGGTAGATGTGACTGTCGTCTCAAGACTAGAGAAAATCAGCAAGCAGACCATTAATATGTAAAAAATTATGTACTCAGAATCTGTTTGTGTAAAGGTAAAAGGTCTTAGGAGGCAAAAGAAATTTCTAACGGTTCTTACCTTCCAGGAGGGAAAAGAGATGTGTTGCCTCATAGAGAAAAACCTGTTCAGGATTTAGGGCATGCATGCACACGTGCCTGGTATGTTCTTCAACTGCTAGGTTCAGGATTTGAACTGTGCAGTTGGCCACTAGGCCAGTGGATCAGCCTCCACCCATTTCTTTCTTTTTTTTTTTTTTTTTTCTGTAGCACATGTGTGCTGCTGGAGAGAGTCAGAAAGAGGAAAGTGAGAAATCATCCCCCAGGAAGGATGTCAATGCTGAAGCCCCCTCTCCTCCATTTTCCGCTCAGGATTTTGGGCATGCACGCATATGTGCCCAGCATGTTTTTCAAGCTACCAAGTCTGAGTCTTTTTTTTTTTGGAGAGGTTTTTTATTGCTATAGGGCGCGTGCGCTCGCCAGACAGACAGAAAGAGACATAGAGACAGAAAGCGAGAAATCACCCCCCAGAGGGGATGGCCACGCCACAATCCCTTCTCCTCCATTCTCCTCTTGGGATCTTGGGCATGCATGCACACACGCCCGACATGAGTTTTAAGCCACCAGGTCCGGGACGCGAACCGCAGTCAACTACGTGGGAGTCCAGCGACATAGCCATTACGCTAACTGCTGGTTCCCCAAGTCTGAGTCTTGAACTGTACAGTCAGGCACATGAGATCCATAACTTTTTAACAACCATCAC